CCAAAGGGGGTACTAAAAAATTCAAAATTACTACAAATTTTGATGAATTTCACACTGAGTATTATACTATTACTTGGTACTTGGTAAGTTTTAAAATTTTGTTAAGTTAAGTTGTATATTACTCTTAATTTCTATAATTACTTGAATTTGTTTATTTTGAGTTATTTTTAATGAAAATGGAAAATATGATCTTGGAATAACTGGGGTTACTTGTAATGAAATTATTGGGGTTACATATATTGTGGATTACAAGTATAATATGTAATTAGAATTATTGGAGTATAGTTTATAGTGTAATTAATTACATGTTAGTTAGAGTTACTTGTATTTTGAGTTACTTGTATTTTGAGTTGCTTTTTGAGTTACTTTTATTTTTTTTTGTAATTTTGAATTACTTGTAATGAAAATGGTAAATATGGTCTTGGAATAACTGGGGTTACTTATAATAAAATTATTGGGGTTACATATATTGTGGATTATAGGTATAATATGTAATTAGAATTATTGGAGTATAGTTTATAGTGTAATTACTTACATGTTAGTTACTTGTATTTGGAGTTACTTGTATTTGGAGTTACTTGTATTTTAGGACTTTTGGAGTTACTTGTTTTTTGAGTTACTTGTATTTTTTAGGACTTTTGGAGTTACTTGTATTTAGAATTTCTTGTATTTTTAGGACTTTTGGAATTACTTGTATTTTTTTTTTGTATTTAACAGATTTTAATTGTATTAGTTGCTTTTGTAGTTTATTTAAATTGTAAACCTGTAGTTCTAATATTTATTTTTTTCTAGAGGCTTTATATGTCGAAATATTTGGTTTTAAAAGGCCATGATTCTGGAGAATTTGTCAAAGATTTCCCCATTCAAATGATCCCACTTGATTCTCAAAAGTGCTCTTCTGAAACAAATGATTGTGGAATCTTTTGTTTGTACCATTGTGCCACATTTGAGGGGAAAGCATTCAAATGTAAAAGTTTGACTCAGGTATAATGATTTTATCTATACTTTTATTTAATTTTATTTGCTATTTTTATTTTTATTACTTATTACTCTAAATTTGTATTTTAGGCATTGGAAAGACGTCGTTTCAGAGCAGAAATATGTGCATCTCTGGTTTTATGTAATTTGAATTTAAGACGAGATGATGTTTTAACAAGTGTGAATGCATTTTGTGACAATAACGAAGAGATTTATGCTGAAGTCATACTTAATGAGGAAATAGAAAAGACTAACAATATTGCTCATTAAATAAAGAAGGCGAAGAAGGTTAGTCTGTCTAAAAGCAAAAAAAGGAGTTTGTTGAAGAAAAAGATGAAGGTTAAAGAAAATACACCTGATAAAGAGAAGGAAGAAGAAGCCTTTATGATTGCAGCAACTATAGCTGCAGAAAAAATGCAGAGAGAATTAAGGCTGCTGCAAAACGGTGTTCTAAAAGAAAGAAGTAAGAACTTTTGTAATAAATTTTAATTAGTTATATTGAACAGTTTTGTTTTAATATGCTGAACACTTATTAGGGGGTTGTAATATTTAATAGTATGACAGTCTTTCATTTGTTTATTTTAGTACATTTTAATCTAAAATTATATATATATATATATATATATATATATATATAAGAGTTATGTTACTTGTATTTCATTACTGTTATAGTTTTACTCAAGATAATTTTAGTTAGTTACTCTTATTGTTTTACTTATCTACTAGTATTGGTATAATTGATACTGTTAACTACTAGCATTGGTATAATTGATACTGTTAACTTATATTAAGTTAATTTTATTGAGTTTAGTTTGGTTATTTGGATTTTGTTAGTTTTGGTTACTTGTATTGTTTGTTACTGTAACTTATATTGTTGGATGCTAGTGGCTTGTATATAAGTTATATAGAGTTATTTTATGTTAGATTTGATTGTATAATAACACTTGTATTGGTGGTTAATTGTATAGAATTAGAGCTACATGTATAAGATTACTTGTACTGGAGATTATTTGTTTTATTGGATACTAGTTACTTGTATAAATTAACTTGAATAGGATTACTTGTATTGGTGGTCACTTTACTTGTATAAGGTCACTTTTCTTACATATGGTTACTTGTATTTACTTGTATACGGTTACTTGTATACGCTTACTTGTATTTGAATATAGGGTTACTTGTATTTCAATATAGAGTTAGTTTTATTTTAATATAGGGTTACTTGTATAGGGTTAGATTTAGTTTATAGGGTTACTTGTATGAGGTTAGGGTTACTTGTATAAGGTTACTTGTATGAGATTAGAGTTACTTGTATATGGTTAGATTTACTTTTATAGTGATACTTGTATAGTGTTACAGTTACTTTTATAAAGTTACTTGTATTTTAATATAGGGTTACTTGTATTAGGTTACTTTTATATGGTTACTTGTATTTTAATATAGGGTTACTTGTATTAGGTTACTTGTATTTTAATATGGGTTACTTGTATTAGGTTACTTTTATATGGTTACCTGTATTTTAATATAGGGTTACTTGTATTTTAATATAGGGTTACTTGTATTTTAATAGAGTTACTTCTATGAGGTTAGGGTTACTTGTATTTTAATATAGGGATACTTGTATAGTGTTACGGTTACTTTTATAGAGTTACTTGTATTTTAATTTAGAGTTACTTGTATAGGGTTACTTTTATAAGGTTACTTGTATTTTAACATAGGGTTACTTGTATTAGGTTACTTTTATATGGTTACCTGTATTTTAATATAGGGTTACTTGTATTTTAATATAGGGTTACTTGTATTTTAATATAGAGTTACTTGTATAGAGTTACTTCTATGAGGTTAGGGTTACTTGTATAGGGTTACTTGTATTTTAATATAGGGTTACTTGTATATGGTTACTTGTATTTTAATTTAGAGTTACTTGTATAGGGTTACTTATATAAGGTTACTTGTATTTTAACATAGGGTTACTTGTATTAGGTTACTTTTATATGGTTACCTGTATTTTAATATAGGGTTATTTGTATTTTAATATAGGGTTACTTGTATTTTAATATAGAGTTACTTGTATAGAGTTACTTCTATGAGGTTAGGGTTACTTGTATAGGTTTACTTGTATTTTAATATAGGGTTACTTATATATGGTTAAATTTACTTGTATAGGGTTACTTGTATTTTAATATAGAGTTACTTGTATAAGGTTACATGTATGAGGTTAGGGTTACTTGTATAAGGTTACTTGTATGAGGGTAGAGTTACTTGTATATGGTTAGATTTACTTTTATAATGTTACTTGTATAGTGTTACGGTTACTTTTATATGGTTACCTATATTTTAATATAGGGTTACTTGTATAGAGTTACTTTTAATATAGGGTTACTTGTATATGGTTAAATTTACTTGTATATGGTTACTTGTATTTTAATATAGGGTTACTTGTATATGGTTAAATTTACTTTTATAGGGTTACTTGTATTTTAATATAGGGTTACTTGTATAAGGTTACATGTATGAGGTTAGGGTTACTTGTATAGGGTTACTTGTATAAGGTTACTTGTATGAGGGTAGAGTTACTTGTATATGGTTAGATTTACTTTTATAATGTTACTTGTATAGTGTTACGGTTACTTTTATATGGTTACCTGTATTTTAATATAATGTTACTTGTATAGAGTTACTTTTATGAGGTTAGGGTTACTTGTATAGGGTTACTTGTATTTTAATATAGGGTTACTTGTATATGGTTAAATTTACTTTTATAGGGTTACTTGTATTTTAATATAGGGTTACTTGTATAAGGTTACATGTATGAGGTTAGGGTTACTTGTATAAGGTTACTTGTATGAGGGTAGAGTTACTTGTATATGGTTAAATTTACTTTTATAATGTTACTTGTATAGTGTTACGGTTACTTTTATATGGTTACCTGTATTTTAATATAGGGTTACTTGTATAGAGTTACTTTTATATGGTTACCTGTATTTTAATATAGGGTTACTTGTATAGAGTTACTTCTATGAGGTTAGGGTTACTTGTATATGGTTACTTGTATTTTAATATAGGGTTACTTGTATATGGTTAAATTTACTTTTATAGGGTTACTTGTATTTTAATATAGGGTTACTTGTATAAGGTTATAGTATGAGGTTAGGGTTACTTGTATAAGGTTACTTGTATGAGGGTAGAGTTACTTGTATATGGTTAGATTTACTTTTATAATGTTACTTGTATAGTGTTACGGTTACTTTTATATGGTTACCTGTATTTTAATATAGTGTTACTTGTATAGAGTTACTTCTATGAGGTTAGGGTTACTTGTATAGGGTTACTTGTATATGGTTAAATTTAATTTTATAGGGTTACTTGTATATAATTAAATTTACTTTTATAGGGTTACTTGTATTTTAATATAGGGTTACTTGTATAAGGTTACATGTATGAGGTTAGGGTTACTTGTATAAGGTTACTTGTATGAGGGTAGAGTTACTTGTATATGGTTAAATTTACTTTTATAATGTTACTTGTATAGTGTTACGGTTACTTTTATATGGTTATTTGTATTTTAATATAGGGTTACTTGTATAGAGTTACTTTTATATGGTTACCTGTATTTTAATATAGGGTTACTTGTATAGAGTTACTTCTATGAGGTTAGGGTTACTTGTATAGGGTTACTTGTATTTTAATATAGGATTACTTGTATATGGTTAAATTTACTTTTATAGGGTTACTTGTATTTTAATAAAGGGTTACTTGTATAAGGTTACTTGTATGAGGTTAGGGTTACTTGTATAGGGTAACTTGTATTTTTATATAAGGTTACTTGTATTTTAGTGTAGGGTTACTTGTATAGGTTACTTGTATTAATATCTTGTATTGGTTATTTCTATTGGTTATTAGTAAACTACAAGTAATAATTTGATTGCAGTATGTATAAAAAAAATAAGTCTAGTATGTATTAAAAAAAAAATATGTCTACTATTATAGTATGTATCCCTCACTTATACTCGATAATTCAAAACCTAAAATAACTTTGGGTTCTGAATTGGAGTTAAAGTTCCAAATTCTCTGGCATTTCCTTTTGCTTGCATTGCTTTTGTTTTCTTTGCTTTAGGCTGCTTCCCTTTCTCAAAGTGCCCTTTTATTCTTTTGCTTCTTCCTTTTGTGTTAGCTTTTTCTGGATCTATGACTGCAGGAATATCTAGTTCTGGTGATGCTTCTTGATGATCAGCTGAAGTTTGCTGTTGATTACTTGTAGCTTCTTGTTGATCAGATGAGTTTTCCTTCTCCTTGTTCTTTTGCCATTCCCTTTTGAATTCATCTGCCTTCTCTTGTATCATTTTGAAATGTTCTTCTACCAAGTTTCGTGTCTCTTTGTGGTCTTGACATTTTATTAGTAGATTGTAGCTTCTTCTAGCCATTGTGTGACGCCAAGGCATTAATTTGTCTGACTGAGATTCTTTTTCTGCTCCATCTTCATCTTTCTTTTTCCAGACATGTGCTTTTGCCATTTTAGACCATCTTGTTGAAATGTATAAGCTAGGAATTCTTGTCACATTATGATGATGCAAGATCTTGATACAATGATAACAAAGCCAACCAATTTCTTCGAAATTCTTGCAAGAACATGCTATTTTATTTTCAGCTTTGTTATATGTAACCTTCTGTCTGCTGCTATCATCATACTCAATCTGCACTTCATAAAAGTAAAAATCTCTCACAGTAGCATGAAGATAAGTTATGCATCCAATTGAGTACATAAATTCCGTTTCAAAATATCTGAAAATAGTTTGAGTGTACACTTCTGAAGCATGTTTAAGTAATCCAATAAAAGGAATACTTGAGGTTGGGTTGGAATTTGAACATTTAAAATCAGCATCAGACTCATTCTTTCTCCACCTCTTCACTGTTTGATTGAAAATTTTGAAGAAATCTGTCAGGCTTGTGTTTTTATTGGCCTTAAACCCAACTGCATTATTTGCACTTTCACTTCTTTGTGATGATAGTATACCAGCAGAAAAAAAGTCTTTACTTAATGCTGTACACCATTTTTCTCTCAAACCATACAACCTTTTAAACCATTTATTGTTTTCAAGTTTGTATTTGGCAATCATAGAATCCCAACATTTCTGTAAATTCAGATTTATAAGTAATGGTTTAGAATACAAGTAATTAAAGAATAAAAGTGAAATTAAATTCAGATTTATAAATAATGGTTTAGAATACAAGTAACCATACATGTAACATCATACAAGTAACTATAAAACCATTACATGTATCATCATAATTATAATAGTTACTTATTAGTATATATAAATAATAGTAATAGTATGATGTAATAGTATTAAGGTTACATGTAATATTTAATTTCTAGTGAGGTTACTTGTATTATATGTGTTGTATTATATGTGTACTTGTATTGATGTTACTTGTATTATATAGTTTTAAGTGAAGTTATTTGTATTATATGGTTACTTGTATTGAGGTTACTTGCATTATGTATTATTTGGTTACTTGTATTAAGATCACTTACTTGTATTAGGAAGATAGTTATAAAGGTTACCTGAAATTCTTCTTCTGTCACACATCCTGAAAGACATTTGTTGAATGCATCTTTGAATGAGGTATCTCTTTTCAGTGCTCCAAATCTTGATACAACATTCTTTATAAGATGCCAAATACATAATCTGTGTCTTGAGTGAGGAAGGACCTACAACATTGTAAATGAATTATACTGTTAAAATTCTGTTGTGTTTTTTTTATTTTTTTTTAAAGTTTTGATCTTATTGAAATTATAAGCTAATTCATAAATCACCGTTTCAATTGCTTTAGACATTTCCAAGTCTTGATCTGTAAATATTGAAGCAGGTTCACTACCTCCCATTGACTTTTTAAAAGTGTCTAACACCCACTCAAAAGTTTCTATTTTCTCATCAGCAATAAAAGCACATCCAAACACAACATTCAGCCAGTGATTATTGAGACCAACAATAGGGGCACAAATAAGGTTATATTTATTTGTCCTATATGTGGTATCAAACACAACAACATCTCCATAAATTTGAAAATCTTCCTTCATTTCAGAATCTCTCCAAAAAATAGCAGTGAGTTTGTTTTCATTTTCACCATCTCCTAACTTAAATCTGAAAAAGAAATTCCAAAGTTAGTTGTTTTGGTAATAGAAGTTACTGGTATAAGTAGAAAATATTAATAGAATTTAGTTTACTTATTATTATTAAAAGTAGGAGTTACCTGAAGAAGAAATCATCATCTTCAGATTGCCTTTTGTATAATCTATCTATTACTGTTTGTGCATCACCTCCTTGAATTTCTTTAATTTTTTTCCTTGAAATGTAATTGTAATGATCCGTTATAGTGTGTCCTACAAGTTCTTCTCCACCAGCTTCACTACTTATTAATCTAAATGCATCTGCTGGTCTTAACCCACTGTCTGCCATTAAATCAATGGCTTTTGCCTTTTCTTCTGTTATCTTTCTCTCTGATCTATGTAAATGCTGCCAAACACTTCTTGTCAACTCATGGTTATGTGCTATAACATGTTGTTCAACTACAAACATTCCTTCTTTGTTTTTTTTTTGCCCTAATGAATGCATTGCAACCAGTCCTAGTAATAAGTACTTGATGTGTTCTTTTATTTTTGTTTTCACTTGGTGGAGGAGGTGTTCTTTTGCTTTTGGTACACATCTGAATCCTTCTTTAGAACAAACAAATCCTTTCCTTTAATTTCTCTGTGTTTCCCTTGTGTATACCTTGTTGTTGAATGTCTTATACTAAATCCTACAACCATAGCATGAAGCCTATATTGCTCATATATTTCATCCAAAGTTAAGGCTGTAAAACCTAGTAGACTTCCTGCAAAATCATCCAATTGTAGTCCAGCTTGATTTGCACTTTCTTCTGTCAATGTGCTATTACTTATTTCTGCAGTACTTGTATTTATTTCTGCAAATTATAAACTGAATTTAGGAATATATAGCTTGAAATTGACATAATACATAGAAGTTATAATCAGGGATTACTTATTAGAAAGCACTACATTTACTTGTAAGTTTTTTTTAAAGTAGAGTTACTTGTTGTTAATTATTAAAGTAGAGTTACTTGTTAGATTTTTTTGAAAGTGGAGTTACTTGTTGTTAGTAAATAACAATATAATCTGGGTTTACTCGTTGTTACTTATTAATGACATAAAAATGTAGGGTTACTTGTTTTTCAATGGTTACTTGTATATAATCAGAGGTTACTTGTTATAAAGCACTAGGGTTACTTGTAAGTTTTTTAATATAGAGTTACTTGTTGTTAGTTATTAATGTATAGGGTTACTTGTATTTTAATATAGGGTTACTTGTATATGATTAGATTTACTTTTATAGGGTTACTTGTATGAGGTTAAGGTTACTTTTATATGGTTACTTGTATTTTAATGTAGGGTTATTTGTACAGGGTTACTTGGATTTTAATATAGAGTTACCTGTATTGAGTTACTTGTATTTTAATATAGGGTTACTTGTATATGGTTATATTTACTTTTATAGGGTTACTTGTATTTTAATATAGGGTTATATGTATAGGGTTACTTGTATGAGGTTAGGGTTACTTGTATAAGGTTACTTTTACTTTTATAGGGTTACTTGTATTTTAATATAGGGTTACTTGTATATGGTTACTTTTATAAGGTTACTTGTATTTTAATATAGGGTTATTTGTATTTTTATATAGGGTTACTTGTATTTGGTTACTTGTATTTTTGTTCATAGTTACTTGTATAGGGTTACTTGTATAAGGTTACTTGTATTTTAGTATAGGGTTACCTGTATTAAATGATAAACACAATGTAGATTTTACCTTATATGTAGTTGTTGACATCAATTACTTCAATTTGTTTGTATCTGTGTTCATCTTCTAGATCCAATACTTGATTATTGGTTTCGATTTCGAGATTCATCAATGAATCCTCAATTTGCTCCATCTCTATTGATTCCTGCGAATCAGGTAATTGTTCGAATTCTTCTTCCATAGTTATTCTTCAATTTCTGAAATAAAAATGTATCGAGTTTTCAATTCGATTTTTCTTCGTTTTTATCGCCCTTCTGGAAGATTGAGTTTCGCCGCAATAAATGTTTTTTCTGGGTTTTAGGGTTTAGGGATTTGTGCGCGTCTTTTTTATAGTCATTTAGTTTCATTTAGCGCGTGTGATCAATCCCGTTTTGCGCGACTATACTCCGTTATTTTTGCTGACATGGCAGAAGGCCGCACCATGTGGCCTGCTGCACCAAAAAGGCGCCGTATACGATATTATAGGAAGTAGTGATGTTTAGAATTGTATATAAGGCAATTATTCTAAAACTTAAACCTTGTTGATGTAGGATATGTGTTAGATCGATAGCTAGCTTATATAACTATTATTATAAATATAAACCCTCCTAAAGCCATGGTTGATGTTTGACATCTGATTAAAGCAAGTTTATATAAAATTAATTACTCGTAAATTTGTTCATGTTCGATCGATCTCAAATCATTATTCCGAGTAAACTCGAAAACCATGGGACTCAAGGCTTTTCTCCCCCACGAAGTTTGAAGTATTGAAGTTCGTATATGTGGTGGTTATTTTGGTGATGGCTACCTCAAATTTTAGCGTAGCACTAAGCAATGAAAACGCGGCTTGCAACCTGCCTTTGATTTCAAAATCGCAGCGGAATTGGCTTTTTATATATCATTATCATCTGTGTCTTCCTAATATGCTGCTGCTCAATGTCGATTTCAATTTGTTGATATATATTTTATTATGCCCTCTTGTTATACTCTTCACTTGATTTTTGTCCTAAACAACCCAAGCAAGTTACTACTTGTTTTAAAAGTGTTGTTTAATTTGTTTTCTTTCATAAAAAAATTGTTGTTTGTTTAATTTGAGCATTATAATTTAATAATAAATTGGATTTTTTTTCACCATTTTTGTTTTGCTTTTTTTTTTTTAAAAAAACAATATATATTTAGTATCGTAGAGTATTTTCTGGCACTGGATTAATGACATATTATATTAACCCCGTGCGAGACTTTTAACACGTATTGAAAGAAAATAACTGCCTCATTTTTCCTAACTAATTTCTAATTAAATATGAATATACAATTCCCGAAAGTGCATAATTTTCATATTTAATTAAGAAATTTCAATTAAATTATGGGTAGCATAATACGGAGTAGCATAATATGGGTAGAAAACCCGAAATTTAAAATTTAAAAATTCAAATGGAATATATTTTCAAAGCTATGTTAAATAGCGTAACTTAAAAAGAAAAAAAAAAATACTTGTATAATATTATCCTAAGTGACACGTAATCAATGATGACATTAGCGGTTGTTATTTTAGTATAGGAAAAATGTAATCTAATAATCCCACCTTTAGTCAGTATTCCATAAACAATCCCACCTTTTGAAATTCCAGAAACAATCCCACCTTTGACATAAATCTTCCACTAACGATCCCATTGACCTACAACCTGTTAAACAGGTTGATTTTTTTTTTTTTTTAAAAAAAAAACATTCTTCTCAAGCCACCAGCCCACTACCATGGCCACCCCAACACTCACACCTTACCACCACCCCACCCACCAAGCCACGCCGGAATATTCTATAACCACCCCCAAAACCCAACCACAGCCCCGAAAACCCCACCCATAGCCCCAAAAAACCCCACTCAGCCCTGAAACTGAACCCTCAGCCCCAAAATACTCTACCCTATCCCCGAAAATTCTACCCACAGGCCCGAAAAATGCCACCCATCTTGAAAACTCAACCCCCAGCCCTAAATACTCAACCCCGACAGCCCCAATTGCCTCTCAATTCGATTTTCGGTTTGAAATTAAAAGCAAATTATGATTTCAATCATCTGAAAAAATCGAATTGAAAGGAAAATTGATGAATTTAGAGGAGAGAGAAACGTACCCAAGAGAAGAGAGAAAGACAAGGAGAAAGAAGGGTTCTAGTGCTAGAGTAGTAGCGTGCGAAGAATAAGAGCGAGATATGGGCTGCGGTTTTTGGGGAAGCAAGGCGGCTACAGTAGGGGTTGGATTTCCGGAGAAAGTAAGAGCGGAGATGGGGAGGGGATACGGTGGTTGGGATGGGGACGAGATATGGTGGCGTGGCTAAGGCTTGGGTTTTTGGGTTTTTTTTTTTTTTTTTAATTAGTTTTGTTTTTTAAATTATTATTAAATATTAAAATAAACATATTAAAATCTGACACGTGTCTTATGACCTAAGAAAACCGGTTACTAAAATAATCCAACCAGTTAGGGACTGTTAGTGGAAGATTTATGTCAAAGGTGGGATTGTTTCTGGAATTTCAAAAGGTGGGATTGTTTATGGAATACTGACTAAAGGTGGGATTATTAGATTACATTTTTCCTTTAGTATATATAGTAATAGATAGGTTTCATGAGCTTATCTTTCCTAGCTATTAAAATAAGTGGACATGAGTTGAGCAAAATCGTTTCCATATAAAATGACTAGATGAAGCCCGTGCGACGCACGTTTATTTGAATTTTTTTAAAAAATATATATTTTTATGTATGTGCTAAAATTTTGTTATATATTTAGATAAAATTCATAATATCAAAAGATAAGTTTTTATATTTAATTAATTTAAACTTAAAAATCTAATTCGACAATTTTTCTTACCTGACATTTGAATTATTTAATTTTAAAAGAAATTAATAATCTCTTATTTTATTGGCTGCAACTAAAATTTATAATCCTACGTGGCGCGTTAAGAAAATTAAATCATATATGGCTCTCTAAAAACCCGGGAAAAAACTCACACACACACATATATATATATACGGGGTGGTTCCGCTGAAAACAGGTCTTATGCTGAAAACAAGGCTTATGCTGAAAACAACAAATCTCAACCATTCATTAGTATCATAAAAGATCAGACGGCTTAAAAGCTCTAAGACCTTTTCAACCTTACATATAACCAATTCAACCTTTTAAAGGGTACTACATACTAAAATAAGGTAACTTTATCTAAATTGACGATATTGAAATAGAGTCACTATATATAAAAAAAACGTAACTATATTAATTTTAACGATATTTACACAAAGGTCATTATATACAAAAATAAGGTAACTATATCAAATTTGACAACATTAATATAAATGTCACTATATAAGAAATAAGGTAACTATATCAAATTTGAGTTTTTAAATCCATTTACATAAATGTCACTATGTACATAAATAAGGTATCTAAGCTATATCGACATTGAGTTTTTGACTCCATTTACATAAAAGTCACTATGTACAGAAATAAGGTAATTATATCGACTTTGAGTTTTAGCTCCAATTACATAAAGGTTACTATGTACAGAAATAAGAAAACTATATCGACTTCAAGGTTATGACTCCATTTACATAAAGATCACTATGTATAAAAATAAGGTAACTATATCGACTTTGAGTTTTTAACTCCATTTACATAAAGGTCACTATATACAAAAATAAAGGTTACTATACATAAAAATAAGGTAACTACATCAATATTACAATATTTACAATATAACAAAAGAAGTAAAAATGAATGCATGTCACTAGTATTATATTTAAATATACTATATAACAATGTTATTAATAAAAATATAACTTCATATGTTTATAAAGACTAATTTTACATTACATATGTACATCACCATCTATGATTGCAGACTCTTGCCTATGAATTACAATGTTCTTATCCTTGTTTGTCTTCACTTTTTTCACTTTACGACCTTCATTTTCATCCAATTTTCTCTTCTTAGCTGACAAAACAATAGCATGTGAAGAAGAAGCCTCATTCCCCTTATTTCCTTCCATGATAGCAGACAAAGCTATAGCAGGTTGAGCGTCCTTTGCATTCCCATCCATTGTTTCATTTGTATTCTCAACAATAGAAGGTTTCTTTTTCTTAGTGATACTTTTCGTTTTCAATCCTTTTACAAAACCATTCTATAGTATTGACAAATGCCAATATACTACTGCTCCCCAAGAATTATAAGTATGAAACATTAGAAAAAAGAAACTAAAAAGCTCAAGCCATCAAATTGGATGACTGATGCAACTATGTAAGGAAAAACAGCTTAATTTCTTTGACAAACTATTGAATAAATTTTAAAAAGCACAATTTTCTTTGAAAATTTTAACTATACCTAGAAATTCTATTAGATAACCCATAAGCTCACGCCAACAACGCATTCGTTCACAACCCAGAAACAAAAGCAACATAATTCCAGATAACATTAGTCCTCCTATAATTAATCCCAATATTTATACATATCCATAGAAATTATTAGTTTCCGGCCTAGACCAGACAAAAATTACATACAATCAAGAACAGAATCTTATAAATTCAACTAATTAAATCAAAAATCATTTTACCAAAAGGTGAAGCACAACAATTAGAGCAGAGTCTCGAGCAAAAAATTACACTTAAAAACCTAATTAACTAAAATCAAGCAGAATTAAACAAAATTCGTTCAAAACTACTCCTACGAAACTCAAAAATTCAAATCAAATTGAAAGAATCAATAAAAAAAACTTGCAAAATTACAAAATTAAACAAAAATCATAAACAAAAACACAATGGATAATATTAAATTTCCAGCTGAATATACAAAAAAATGCAAATGAAATTCAGGTAAACAAAATGACAGAAACCTAAGTAGAACCTCACTACCTCAAATCAAGCAAAAATAGCGAAATTAACACAAATAACTTACTTGATAATAGATTGTAGAGCTGAGAAATCGCTGAAAATCAAAGTAATTGAAGCCAGATTTGAAAAAGTAGCATGGTAGAAGAATTGGGAAAGTAAGAGAGAGAAAGTTGGAGAGAGGAAGTAGAGGAAATTAGAAAAGAAAGAAGAACGTGAAAATGAAGTAGGAGAGAGAAACTAGAGGAAAGAGAGAGTGTGCAAATTGAGAGGAAAAATATCAACGGCTGAGATTTGATGAGTTAGTGTAGATTAAATCTAACGGTCTGGATTGTTTATTTTCAGTTTTCAGCCATAGGCTTGTTTTCACATGATCCACACTATATATATATATATATATATATATATATATATATATATATATTATATATATATATATATTATATATATATATATATAATATATATATATAATATATATATATATATATATATATATATATTAGATTGTAACGGGCTGGTTTGTTTGGGATATGAATACTGGAAACTAGGCAAATTGGGAGATATATTAAGACTCGCAAGTCATTTAAAAAAAAAACCATAATCTTATGGATCGCGGAGGCTAAATGGCTAATTAATTATGACACAAAGGCTACAATCTTATGGATCGCAGAGGCTAAATGGCTAATTGACTATGACTACAAGCCAAGTGCAAATAAATTAAGGATTTTTTTTATGAAAAAACTACCTTTAAAAAATTTGTTGTAAATGACTACCCTTTTTTAAAAATATGTTGTAAATGAATACCACTTGTCGAAATCTCGCCATTGACTTTTTACTCCGACGTTGACAAGACCGTCCCTACCCCCTTTGCCTCCCTTTTCCAATTTCCAGAAACTGGAAAAGGGGAGGGGCAGGTGACGGGGAGGGGGGTGGTCGAAAACTGGAAAAGGGAGGAGGTGGGGGTGGTAAAAAACGAGATAAAGCCGCCAAGTGGTCTAGTCGACGCCGGAAAAGTGAGTCAACGACGAGATTCCGGCAAGTGGTAGTCATTTACAACATTTTTTTTAAAAAGGTAGTCAACTAAAACAAACTTACCACTCCGATAATAATGTTGACCTAGTGCTTTGAATGCTAAAACTTAGGGCTTGTTCTCATTGACTGAACTCAGCTGAACTGAACTGAACTGAGCTGAACTGAACAACTGAGCTGAACTGAACTGAACTGAACTGAAATGAAATGAATATTTTATAAGAGAAGGAAATTAGGAGCTGAGTTGAGCTGAACTGAACTGAACTGAACTGAGCTGAGCTGAGCTGAGCTCAACTGAACTGAACTGAACTGAACAGGCCCCGTAGTGTCATTTTTATCCTCAATCTTGAGTTTCACCTCTATTTTGTTGATTAGTAGTCATCTTAGCTTGCATCAATGCATTCATGATAAACATCAACTAATTAAGCTATTACAATGAGGCTAAGAGGGCAACCTAAAAGACAATTCGAAAGTCCCTCTTAGTTTAATTTATAATTATCCATCTCTAGAGTCTAGACTAATTGATCGATTATTGATTATTAATTAAGAATGAACAAGTAGTATCGTAGGATATATGCATTTCCCTTTGCCAAAAAAATATCAAATAGAGTACATGACATGGCTACAGAGTATACAAATGTGGCAACAAGTAGTAGTATATTTCATTGTAGAGTTGAGGCCTTGTTTCATCCGCCAAATTGTGTCGACATTCACCATATTTCTACCATTTTTATATAGTAATCATTTGTCACTAGTGTTTGCTAGACTCCAAATTACACCGCGGCAAATTTTCGCATATATCATCACTCATAATACATACATACATACAACTAGCTTTTACAACATGATCTCGTTCTGTTGTAAAAAAATAAAAAAAATAAATAAAGAAAAAAGAAAAAAAAATGGTCCAGTTCATCTAAAGCATATAATCTCTGCTTAATTATTTATATGTTTAGTGAATTAGAGAACCATAAATCCATAATTAGCAATGATAACTTCCTATAAGTTTCATTACATTTATGTATAATTCATAACCTTAGTAGAAGGTACCAATTGATTGTTGGTGTAGTGGTGATTGAGACTACACTTGGTACAAAAGACCCGTTTTCGATCCCTCGCAACAACAATTAGGAGGTCAACCCGGTGAACCACATAATCCCCGAATCTGAATCGGGTGGAATACAAACCAAAAAAAACATCATTAGTAGAAGGTCAACAAATTGCAAAATATATATCATCCAAGTTTTTTTTTTATGAGATATAGATACAGTCTACACCAATTAATATAATTAATTCTTTTGGCCAACATCTCACTTTATTGAATTGGCTAATGATCAAGCTGATTAACAATCAATTAATATGAATATATACCTTAATAACCAAACTCAAAACATAGATACAACGAGCATATATAAAAAACAAAAGGCTTACCATAAATAACATTTAAACTTGCACGTAATACAAGTCCTAGGATTAATTGAAGCCAAATGTTAACATTGTTGCATGCACCATACTCGCCACATACCCTAAACCACAACAATTACGTGTTCACACTCAAACATCAAACATCCTCATTTTCATGCAACACTTGTTCAACGTGTCAAACCATGTTCATTCAAACCTCAACTATAAATACCAACAACATACACACTCACTCTTTCATTCACTACTTAACTAGCTAAGCTAATACACTTCACTCGTTTCACAATGTCTAGAGTATTCCTTCTTCCTCTTGCTCTAACTCTACTCATACTCTCCCTACTTCTCCCCTACTTCCTTGGCTCAATTAGGGTTCCAACTAGGGCAGTCCCCCTTCTTGCCTTCCGGCCAGTCGTCCCCCAACACGCCCGGTTGCAGCGCGGCCAGCAGGCTCTTAATGATTGCCAAATCAACCAGCTTAGCGCTAATGAGCCGTCTATCCGAATCCAAGCCGAGGCCGGTATTACTGAGGTATGGGACCCTAAGGAGAACCAGGAGTTCCAGTGTGCTGGTGTCACCGTGATTCGCCGTGAGATTGAGCCTAAGGGTCTTCTCTTGCCTCATTACACCAATGCACCTTCCATCTCCTACGTTATTCGAGGTACTTGACTTATACGACTATATATTTTTTACTAATATATACTGTAATTAAATATATTAATGATCTACCTTCGTTAATTATTATCTGCAACTTTGGGGTATTATTTGGTAGATATAAAATATTCCAAAATTACATATAACAATTAACGGAGGTAGTATTTTTTACTGATATGTAATTTTTTTTTTTTTTGAAAAGCTTACTGATATGTAATTAAAGATATTAATGGTTATGAACGTATTATTCAGGTAGAGGATTATTGGGTGTGAGCGGCCTAGGTTGCGCTGACACCTACGAATCAGGCTTCTCCGAATCTTTCTCGGAGGAGTCTAGGAGCTCCGAACTAGGATCCGAGGAAATGAGAGACCAACACCAGAAGGTTAGACGGTTCCACAAGGGTCACGTCATCGGTCTACCAGCCGGTGTGTCGAAATGGATCTACAACGATGGAGAGGACCGTCTCACCATTGTCACATTATTTGACACTAACAACTTCCAAAACCAACTCGATGACAATTTGAGGGTGAGTTCCCTTTATAACAAAATTACACTAGAATAACAATATGATTTTTAATTTTTTACTCCAATCTTTACACAATTTTAATTATTTATTAATTTATTTTAATTGTCTAGTACAACATTATCCACAATACATTTATCTAGGGTCCTTTTTTAAAAAAAAAATTATGGTACACTCAGTGTATATAAATTCTTTTAAAATATATGAGAATATTTATATATTTTTTAATTGTAGCTAGTTACACATTACTAATTATTTGAATGATGAGCAGAGCTTCTTCATAGCCGGGAACCCACAGGGAAGAGGAGGAGATCAATCAGGACGACACCACGAGTCTCGCCGCCAGCACGAGTCATCCCGCCGTCACACAAGAGGAAGCCAGGAGGAATTTGGCCAGAACATCCTAAGCGGCTTCGACAAACAGCTCCTAGCAGATGCCTTCGAAGTAGAAAGTGACACAATCAGCAAGATCCAAGGCGAGAACGACGACAGAGGTGCAATCATCCGTGTCGAAGGCGGTGAGCTCGAGATGTTGATCCCTGAATGGGACCAGGAAGAGCAAAGATCAGAGAGACACCACCGTGGAGGACGACAAAGCGAACGTAGTCGTCCTCACAATGGCATTGAACAAACTCTTTGCAGTGCTAGGCTTAGTGTCAACATCGACAACCCCGAAAGGGCTGACGTGTTTAACCCTCAGGGCGGCCGCTTGACCAACGTCAACGGCAACAAACTCCCCATCCTTAACTACCTCCGCCTTAGTGCTGAGAAAGTTAACCTCTACAAGGTACGTTACTAGTTTATGATCGTTCGATTGATAACATTCTTGTATCTGATACACCCTCTCACATTTCTCTCGATAGCTCCACTATATGAAGAGGGGAATATGAGAGGGTGTAATTTTACCGTTTACACCCGAATGTAAAATAGAAATTTGTATTTACAATAATTTTGTCCACCAAATTTATCTTACATTTTTTTTAACCTAGGAAGTATAATTGAGTGATGTATGTGTTTTTACCCTAATGCAGAATGCTATAATGACACCAAACTGGAAGATAAACGCACACAGCATAGTCTACTTCACAAAGGGAAGTGGCCGAGTCCAAATCGCGAACCACGAAGGGGAGCTAGTCTTCGACGACATGGTCCAAGAAGGCCAACTCGTCGTAGTCCCACAGAACTTTGTAGTCCTAAAGAGAGCAGGACGAGACGGACTAGAATGGGTTGCACTCTTGACCAACGACAACGCCATGAGCAGCCCACTAGCAGGCCGGATCTCAGCCATTCGAGGCATGCCCGTCGAGGTAGTCATGAACTCGTACAAATTGTCAAGGGAGGAGGCACAAAGGCTCAAGTATGGAAGGCAGGAATTGAGTGTGTTTAGCCCTTCAAAGAGGTCCTCTGAAAGGAGGGGAGATGAGTATGCCATTGTGTAAGAGTATGAGTGTTGACTAGTGAAGTTTTTGGGAGAGAATGAATAAAGTAAAGTGGTGGAAAAAGCTAGTTAGCTAGTTATAATGGGTTTTGTTTGTTGTATGGAAAGCTTTAGTATGGTTTTTTAGGTGTAAAGTTTGATGATAATAATATGGCCACCTTTACTTTGGTTACACTTATGAATAATGTTGTTTCCAAGCGCGTTTGTTGTTTGCAAGAATCGTACCCACGACCTCATGAATTTCTAATTATTAGCTTAAGAATCTAAGACAACATGTTAATTGCAAAAATAAGTTTATTGCATACAGCTTAAAGCTAGCTAATTCTATAAGTGTAACCAAACTAAAAAAAAAAAAACTAGTATAAAATGTTCATAATCATACGCCTCTCTATTTTAATTTGCTATAAAATGTTCATAATCATATGTTTTGTCCAATTTAAATTAACAGTTACATTTGAATTTTTAACGTCAAATCTTATAAATTTTGACCGTATTCTAAAACTAACAAATAAGAAAATTATGAACAACAACAAATGTATACTTTTTTATACTTAATATATATAGGATATGATCGATTTATGAATCTTGTATACTATTACCGATTATTTTGAGATTTGAGAGAGTAATCAACGATGAGAGGGGAGGATAGTGGGCCATGGATTACAGTATTAGCGAATGAGGTGTAAAGGATGTATGTTTTTGGAAAGTGATGATATGATGCTACCTTTTGGTTTATGAAGAGAATCAGCCAAGCTAAGTAAGTACGGACTATGGAGTAATAGTGTTGTACAATAATTGATAAGTAATTTTGCTTGGTTGGCCATTAAAAGTGCTAATTTGACCACGTTTATATGTGGTCAGGGTACAAAATTTAAGTATACATATAATGTCTTGCTTTAGTGCATATGACCTGCCCTCAAATTCCAAGTTATGGCGTGATTTCCACGTCAGATTTCGACCAATTGAGAAAAGTAGAGACTTTATTGCAAATAGCAATCAATATCAAATCAAGATTTTTTAGGGTGACAAAATATATACTTTCTTAATCAAAAAACCAGTTTAACAAAAGTTTTTCCCTTGCAATAGACATATGCTTATTAAGTGTCCACTACAACTTTTAATCTTTTATTGTTGAGGAGAAAAAAGAACTGTGTACTACTACTAATAATGTGCTTGGGATAGATAACTCCCCACTATTACATTACCACGATAACTTAACAAATGCAAAAACTAGTAACTAAAAATGAGGAAAGACATAGTATTACTGTATTATTATCGATCTTTCACTAACAACCATAATTTGAAGCACTACATTCAATAAGTTGGTTATGTGATACCAACCTCATCATGAAATACATATAAGTCAATTAATTGCTTGGTAACACACTATATGTATGGTATATGTACTAAAACCAATTACTTCGTCTTTATATATTTAAGAAAATATGTGAAAAAATGAGCTTTTAAGTGGTCGAATTTTTGTAAAAGGAGTTTTTAAGTGAAAAGTTGTGAAAAATGACCTTTTCAATTATATTTTGTTTTTACAGGGTATTTGGGTGAGTTTTCTGGGTTTCTGGATGGTCATGTGAGTTAAACATAAAAAATAAAATAAAAAAACTCCCCCTAAATTTCTTCCTATTCGAACTACCCCTTTTATTTTAACTCCTTTCTCTATCTCTCTCTACCCAAAATTTTGATTTTTTTTTTAATTCACGTGAGTAACACGTGAAAGTCAACACCGGAGCTCCGGCTTTGACCACCCAGAAAACTCACCCAAGTCTCCGTAATTAATTAAAAGGTCATTTTTCACAACGTTTCACTTAAAAGGTCTTGTTATGTTATTACAAAAAGTCGACCAATTAATTAAAATGTCTTTTTTCACACATTTCTCTATATTTAATTGTGTGTAATCTGTAGAAGTAGCTTGCTATACGTTCATGACCAATTTCAATCCGTTTCAAAAAAAAAAAAAAAAAAAAAAAAAAAGAAATGTGTAATCTGTGTAAGTAGCTTGCTATACGTCATGACCAATTTCAATCCGATCTTTAAAATTCAAAGGAAACTTCGACAAATTGATAAAAGAAATCGCTATTGATGATTGAATAAGAAAAAGTAAGTATGAGCTTTAAGGGGAAAGTTGTAGTACTGAGGGTCCGGAGTTCCAATATCAAATCAAGTTGGATTGCCGAAAGTGCTGCCTATATTTCCTGGATGTGGGGTGCTTTCGCACATCCGCGCAACTCTTTTCTGTATTTCTCCTTTATAATTTCATATCATTAAAGTGCTTAACAAGTCACAACCCATGATATATATATGCACTAGAATACTTAATTTCAACGGCAAAACTAGAATTGAATTCAGTAATTACCGTGAAAGAAAGTGCTCGTAGTAAAAAGTGTTTCGTGATAAGTATCGTGATACAATATTCTCTACATCAAAATAAAGTTTAGATAAGTGCAAATCATAGAATAAAGATTATTATCTAGGGAATTGAAAATCTCAAACTTGGATGAAAAAGTCCCCTGTGTCGATCATGAAGTTCTTAATTATTTATATAAGAATTACGAAACGCCTTCTTTAATATTTAGAATTTTAGAGTTTCTGCTAATACCTGATTTTTAAGGACCTAAGATTGAAATTATTGTATGGTCCTGAATCATTACTTTCACTTTACACAACATTAATTTTCTTTCTAACACAATCAATAACTAACTACACATGCATCTTATCATGAGTGGACGGAGTAATGGATCGAAAACATGATATAATTACACTTCTCTAATTCAAGCAGATTAAATTTATCTACTTTGTAGAATCAACACATACATGACAAATCTAGTAGACTAGCTTAGCTTTTAAGCATTACTTGTTGTTGATGACGCAAATGTATTTTGAACTCCAACACAATAACACAACCTTATTTGGGAAAAATTTTAATCCTATCCTATCCACAATTGAATTACAAACTATACCAATCCTAGTCAGCTTTAGCTCATACAACGACAATAACTAACTTATCTATACACTATTGTTGTCAGCTTTCTATGATTATAACTAACCATAGTATTATCCATCAATTTAACATAACTATATACATATTAAAGAGGCATTAATTGCTAATTAAATAAATTGGTTACAATTAAATGTTTCCTTAACTATGAATAAATTCAATCTACTTATTCACCAAACAAAAAAGTATGATTAGTACATTTTTGTACGTAACAATAGCATATCATGTCAAGTCCCCCACCTCACTAACCATGTTTCTAACCCAAAATTAAATATTCAAAAAGATAACCAAAAAAGCAGCCAGCTTACAAAAAACCCCTTAAAATTCAAAGAAATTTATTTTATTTTATTTAAAAAAAAAAAAAAAAAAAAAAAAAAAAAAAAAGCAAACAGCATCTTGTACCAAATCCCAGCCTAGCAAGAACATAATACATATTTGTAACAACCCAAAACTTAGGCATAAAGTCATCCTCTTAACCATTTAAAACCCACATATTATAAGTTCAAAAAAAATAAAATCATCTACAAATTCAAATATTATTCCATTCTTTCTCTCAAAGTTTAACCTATTATTGATGTCTTGCTTCTACCTCCCTAAGAGGCTTAAGCAGCTACCTTCTTCCACAAAGAAGGCTTGGAATTCCTTCACATCCTCTGTCTCCCCTAAACTCGGCAACCTCCGCAGCAGCAGCCTCCCTAAAACCCTCACGAGAACCGCCACTCGTCTTTTCAATCTCCATCACAACAACAAGCGCAGTCGCTCTATTCCAAGGCGGCCGCACTCCTCCTCAGCTGGTATAGCACGTGACTTTTATTACTACAGAGAGTACAACTACTACCAACACCTTCAACCCTACGCTTCAGGGCCTAATAGCCCTGCAACCGTCTATATCGATAGGCTTTTTGGGGAGTCGTCGTCGTCCATGTCTTCATCATCGATGTCGAAACAAGAAGTGAATAAAAATGATGTTACAAGAGATACAACTATGGATGAAGCATCAGCAAGTGGTGGTAGCAAGACACGAGACGATAGCCGAGGTGGCGGCGTTGGTGGTAGTACTAGTGGTGGAAAGAAGAGAAAGAAAGTAAAGAATCATACAAATAATAATAGTAGTAATAATAATTGGAAAGAGTATATTTCGTCAATGCCTAATATTAGGGGAGTTGATGAAAGGGCTGAAGAGTTTATATCAAAGTTTCGTCAAGATATGCAAATTCAAAGAGAACAGTCTATTATTGAGTTCCAGGAGATGTTAGCTCGCAGTGCATAATTATTGATGCAATGATATATATAGAAGTATGTAATTAAATTAATGTGTGTGTGTTAATTATTCTTGCTTCATTTTTTTTTACTATTATATTAATTTGTTGGTTGAATTATTTTTAAAATGGGTTTGTGAATGTGTACAGGGAATGAAATTATTTATTATGGGACAGAATTAGATAATTATTTTTATATATAGCATAAGAGTGTATGAATGAATCTAATAAGGTTAATAGTTAAGTTATAGCATGAGTGTTTGTTTGTTTGTTTATTTTATAAATTTGTTTGTTTCATACTCAATTTGTATACGTTTTCTTAGTTCATATCTATAGATTATGGATCTAATTCGTATGTGTATCTTTATAATAAAAGTTAGTCAATTTATGAGGCCAGTAAGTCAATGATTTATAGAGATGAGGTTAAACAAGAAATCACATGTGTGTTGTTGAGGATTTGAACTTGAGCCTCAAGGTAACACTAAATTGGGCTATATTTAGTTTTCAAAGGATTTGATGTCTAACACATACATACTCCATATTATTGACACATGAAAAATGAAACACCTTAATTAGGTTAGATGGAGTATAAATTAAGACTAAATCGATTTGTTTCATTTGTTATTTAAATTGGCCTTGTCTAAATTTATCTTGTTTAAACTTGAAATTTAAAGAGCTTCTTCTCTAAGGAATTGTCTTACTTAATTTGTGTGTGAAATTGTGTGAAAATTTTTTACCTAAACATATTTTAATTTGTTTGAAATAAGTTAAAATTAGTTGATCTGGAATGACCTGTCTAAGTGATGAAATAAGTCAATTAAGTTGAAGTAAGGACTTCATTACAACCTTTACTATTCATCTTTAAAAAATTATTACATTCAATATAAATATTTCAACGCGTTCTATAATAATTAGACCTTGTCATTTTTTTCATATTAGTGATCTTTTTTTAATTTAAACTAGAATGAAGTATACATAGTTGAAATATTTTTTATTTTTTCTTGACACATACACATATATATAATTGAAATAATATTGAAGGTATTTACTTTAAACATGAAATCAAATTCAATTTACATTAGTGTCCTTTTTTTTTTGGAAAAATGGAAATAAATAATCCCACCTTTGCGTGGTCTGACAATAACAATCCTACCTTTTGATTATTACAAGGCAATCTCAATTGGTATGTGATTTTCTTTTAATAGACCATTTGACCTACAACCTGTTAAACAAGTTAAATTTTTTTTTTTAGTTTTTTAAAGCCACATGTCACTCATTAATTGGTCAAAATAATAAAAGTTAAACTAAAAAAAACAGGTAGAACAAAACAAAACAAAATAAAATAAATAAAAAAAAAAACACCAGCCACTAGCCACCCCCAGCCAGTCAGCCACCGTGAAACCCCTTACCCATACCCTAGGCCCACCAAAAACCCAGCGGCCGCCACTCTAAACCTCCTAAAACGCCAGCCGAACCTCCCAATGCCATAAGCCACCCCCAAAATCACATCCACTACCTTGAAAACATCACCCTGTCGCCGAAAACATCCATCCCAGCCCCAAAAACCTCCACCCCATCCCCTATAACCGTCGAAGACCACCGACAACGGCCGCCCGTAACCCCTTGACCCAAATTTCACCCCCGAAACCACCACAGCCACCGCCGAAATCACCTCGACCCAAACCTCACCCCTAAACCACCATCGAAATCACCCCCTATACCAAATCCAACCCCGAAACCTCTATAACCCCACTCAGTCGCCGATAACCCACGTCAAAAACCTCCATAACCACCACAGTCATCACCACCGAAAACTCCGTTCAACCTCCTTAACTACCCCGAAAACCCCCCTTAAACACAACCTTGGTGCTGGCCAGTCGATTTCGAAGGTTAAGGAGGGTGGACGATCGATTTTTGGTGGTGGTTGAGGCCAGGTAGGAGCTAGGGTTTGGGGGTTGGTGGCTGGTGGCTGGTTTTTTTTTTTTATTATTTTGTTTTGTATTAATTTTTTTTTTATAATTATAAAAAATGAAATGAGCCTATAAAAATTTGACAGATGGCATATAACCTACAAAAATAGGTCACCAACAAGTCAAGGTTCATTAAAAGAAGATGACATACCAAGGTGGGATTATCTTGTAATAATCAAAAGGTGGGATTATTGTTGTCAGACCACGCAAAGGTGAGATTATTTATTCTTTTTTTTTTTTGAAGAATTACATTATTGATCTTTGTGTCTCTCTTTACATGCAATGATACATTTGTCCTACTTTACTTGAATAGTTGCACCACTTGATCAAATAGTTCTCACAAGAGTCACAACTTTGGTCAAATTAAGCAAGTAATTTAATTAAGACGGAGGTGTCATAACATACTTTGTACAATAATTTAATTAAGAGGGAGTACCTTTTTTTTTTAATGATCAACACTTAATTAAGGGTTCATTAATTGGCATCTAATATGAAGTATCAACGACACAGGTTTCACAAATTACTTCAGCGATTTAGCACGATTGCCAGATTGGAGAAAGCAAACAATTGATGAAAATATTGAGGTAGTCCCAGTTAATCAATTTGATAAACAAAAATTTGTTTATCAAATGGCAAAATGATAAATAAAACAACGTATATGTCCAGTCATCATGACATTTTCGTAAATAAATCAACAATAGTGAGACCCAAATTTAATACAAAATTGTTAATTTATTTAAAATTTTGCCATTTGATAAACAAATTGATTAAATGATATTTTCTGAAAAATATTCGATGCTTGACAGATAATAGATGATGAAGTATAACATGATAGTTAAATTAGATCAAGTACTCCGTACTAAGTACTCGTATTGAATTATTGGTTCTTTAGTGACTTTAAGTTATTATTATCAACTAATCCGTACAAAGCCACTATATTATATTTTATGATTTTAACTTCCAAACAACTTTACTTATACAATATTTCTTTACTCTATTCAATTTTCTTCTCAAAAAATAATGTCAATGAATTCGTAGCTAGTGTTATAACAGATGGGGGAGCATACAAGGGAGTTAAGCCCAAAAGTTACAAACTAGATCCCACAACGAGGTTTCATCCGAAAATCAATTGACAATAAGAAGAGTAGCTTACTTGGGTTATAAACTAAAAACCCTTTGATTTCTTTTTTAATGTAGGGCAAACACAACTCAGTTTGCACCTAACCGTTAGAAGGCTAGAATAGCATCAATTTTTGCAATGGATGCAACATTTGTCGTAAATGCTTATCATTTATAATAGCTAAAATGACACAACTATACAGATAGCAGGGATCATCAATATAATTTAGGATAGCTATTGCTCATTAATTACAAAAGTTTATGTTATTTGGGCTACTAGTTAATGGTGGTGTTGCTTAATGCACTAAAAGTCATAATTGGTGTGGTTGAGGCTAATTATACCTTATAAAGGGAGTACTACGTACTAAATTATGAAGTCAACATCCATACTAGGCAATTATTTAGGCATGTTATGGACCTTGTTGAGTTTCAGGAAGATAATTGGAGGAAGGGAGGCATGGAGCATGTTAAGAATCTTAAGATGGCCTGAGGAATAATGATGCATGTAATTAAACAATGTAATTTGTTATGCTTGTTGTCCTAGTCATATTAGCTAGTGCAAAATAATAAGTAGAATATTGAAAACAATCTAAACTATTATTAAGTGACAATACTCAATAGATATTGAAACATTATTATTAGTGTGGTTATTTACAATAAGCCGTAAGATTGGTATGTTTAATTTTAAATTTTCCAATTAGGAGTAGTGATAGTAAGATAATTTAATTTCTTCATTAAACATTGGTATGTTTTTTCGTTCTCTTTATCATGACATTGAGCTACACTAGATCACGGTCATAAGATTTAAAAGAGAATAATTGGCTTATTATTACCGAGTATGACTCATGACTTTACCTTGCTTGGAGTATTTCTTTTGTAGAAAAGATCTTTTTTAAACTTTTTTTTTTTTTTTGCCACTATTATTGCGTAGTATTTTGTTTGAAATCGATATGTATGACGGTGATGTATTTAAGTTTAATGAACCAGAAAAAATCATGAAGCAAATTAAATAAAGTGTAGTATCATATGTCTCTTATGAACCTATGATGGTTGGTCCTTATGCTTTAATGAAGAGCCATTTTGCTATGAAGATTTTATGCATTATTATCTTTGGTTCAAATAACGCCACCTGGCTCAGGTGACTAGATCATTTGATCAAATATCTGCCATTTTTGTATTTATTTTTTTGGAGTTAGTCACCAACTCATGGTCACCCCAATAAAACAAAGACAGAGCTAATTAAACCCATGCCAGTACTGGCTAAGCAAAGTCAATTTATTAGATCCCTACACTAGTACAAGGACAAACCATATTTATGTAACAAGACTACAAGAATGTGTGAGATATGTTTTTGGGTTGGGATTTACCTTCCAAGATTTAGCCAACTTTGTCCACACCTTGATTATGACTTAAGGCTTTAGTTGTTTTACATTATGGAGTAATGCTTTATAGAATGGGTTACATATGTTGCTATGTGGGGGTCAAGGCTCGGAGTTAGTCGCAAGTAAATGGGGTGACATTACATGTTGCCTTTTTCTCATTTTAATAGTCTGATCTAGATTAATAAACTTTCTACGGTGTAGGATATTATTAGATCTTATTATTTGGTTTAATTAATTAAATCTCATTGAAACTTAGGGCCTGTTCTCATTGACTGAACTGAGCTGAAATGAGCTGAACTGAATTGAATTGAGCTGAGCTGAACTGAGCTGAACTAAACTGAAATGAACTGAATAGAACAGATTTGAAATGAAATGAATATTTTATAAGAGAAGAAAATTAGGAGATGAACTGAACCGAACCGAACTGAGCTGAACTGAACTGAACTGAACTGAATTTCAACGTAAGAGAACAGGTCCTTATTAGTAATTTGGATTACTCAATATTTATCTTACACATCCTTAATTTGTTAGTCCTTATAA